TATAAGCGCCTTCCCGTAGCACCTTGACTTGGTACTTGGGCAGCGGGTGCATTTGCTGTTTTTGGGGAATATGTTATCATGTCGCTGGTCTCTAAAGAAGCTTCCTTCTGCTGTTCAGTGGTTGAGGTTGGGCTTGCTCTCTGTTTTTTCGCCTTGTACTTTGGTGATCGGTAGCTTATCTTCACTTCAACGGTGATTTTATCCTCCTTATGAGCTGTGCTCGAGGACGGCATACCGGGCTGAACAATTTGGCCTTCTGTGCGTTTGATAGGATCTGGGCCGCGGACAAAAAGCTTCTTCTTGGCAAGCGCCTGGAGTCTTGCCTTACAATTAACATAATCGGCTGGATGGTTCCCACCACAGTTGGAACATTTGACAGGTGATTCGCCTTTGCAGTCCTTTGTGGAGTGAGTCCCACTACAATGCTTGAATTTTGCATTTTCCTTGCAATATTTAGCCACATGACCCAACGCTTGGCAATTGAAACACCTTAGTGGCGCTTCAACATAGTCGATCACTTCATGTCGAGTAAAGCCAACGCTTACCTTGGTAGGGAGTTCCGTATTAGGGCGAAAAGGGATCACGACTCGATCCGTTGGTTTGGCTGCTTCACCAGGCTTGCCATATCTCTGGTAGAGACGACGAGCTGCGATGACGCCAATGGGTCCAAGAAATTCTGTCAAATGTGAGCTGGAGTACCAGTCAGGAACTCCCTCGATAAGTCCATTGTTTTGCATTTATGCCTTGGGGATTGTTGCCAGAACTGCGATTTCTCCTATAGTGTGAATCTTCAACAGTCGGTTAACTGTTGCCGGCTCCGTTACGTCGACGAGGAGTCCTCCTTTAGCAGTGAAGCGATGGCGAACAAAAGTTGCGCCAGCGGCTGCCTTTAGTTCATCACTTGGCTTGAGGGGGTTAAGGTGTTGCAAACGGCTGGATTCTTGTGTTGGAATCAGCAGCACGGGTATACCTGTTGCCCTCTTTCGACGATATTGGATAAGGGTGAAACCATCGTCGTCATCGTCTGCCTGGGGTTCTTTCCTTGCATCACCGTTTTTGATGTACAGCTTCGCTGGTGTTGTCTCTGTTGCACGAAGTCATCCTGATCATCGAATCGTCTTTTCTTATGTATATAAGCTCGCTGGCTTGTTAAGCTGGCACTGTTTATGGTGTCTTTTTAAGCGGCCAGCTCTTGGTTATCCATTGGGTCGGCCTCCAGCGAGGTCATATCTAGTAGTCTAGGTACCCAGTTTGACCCAGGAAGGGGTCCTCTGGGCGTCGAGTAGTCCGGTTGTATAGACAGAGCCCCAGAGAAGGTGGAAACAAAAGATACAGTCTCCAAACTTGCCAGAAAATCAAGGAGCCGTTGTCAAGAACAACCTCGACATTGACCACTTCTTTTTCTTTCCATCTCGCCTTGATGCCCTCTCGTTGTTCACCGCTTTGGTGTAAACGAGGAAAAGGAGGAGGATGCGAAGAACTTGAATATACTCGTTGTTATCGTCACTGTATGCACCTTACAGTCTAACAAAGCTGTCCTTGCTAAGACGACAGAGAAGTCAACAATGCTTTTCTCATTAAGCTTGTTAAGACTGAAGAATACAGTCAGTGAGGAAAGTGGAAGCCGCAACAGCACGCCGATTGCCGCGCAGCTCCCCTTGCATTTTCATCTATAGAGCTGCCCTCTCGCTACGTGTAAAATCCCTGGATAAAATTCACGCTTACAAGTACCGCCAACCATTGTTGTGGAAACCTGCAAGACACGTGCCACGAGCTGGTGCTCCGCTGCAATTCGCTTCCAAGGGCCACTCTAGAGCCACTAAATAAGCTGCGCTTATTTAGTGGCACTAGGCCACTGAAGACATGGGCATCGAGCACTGGCACATTTGACGCTATACTTGCAAGACAAACGCAGACACATCGATGGGCTTAAACTGCGTGGTGATAGGGGTTCGAACCAATTGAACACGAACTTCACCCTAAAGTTAAGCCTTCCCCCCCCCCCCCCCCCCCACAAAAAAAGCGGAAAATACCAACTTATTAAAAAAAAACCTGCCTGTGTCTGGGCTATTATATACCAAAGGCGCTTAATTCTCATAGCCCTTACGCACCCTCTGTGACGTCGTTGTGCTACTAAGACCATTTGACACGATAACATCCCAGTGTCAAGAGCGTCATGATCTCACGTGCCGTTACAGCATCACGTGACCGTCAGGAAAGCACGTCGTGATGTAACCTTATGCCACGCGACGAGACGTCGCAGTTTCAGTGACATTGTCACGTGTCGTTGCAGTTCCGTGCGAAAAAATCGATGACCCAATAGTTTTCTCTCTTTTTTTGCTATTGGGCAGGAGATCCGACTATTCGCGACTCCAACTATAGGTGGCGCCACTCGTTTTCCAAAATGGCGGTTATAGTGAGGGTCGGAGATGCGTCCCGCTGTTGAGCCTGTCTAGTGTGCTGGCTTCACTGAACGACACTAATTATTCTTGCCTATATGAGGAAGTTAGGGTGTTATGAGCGCAGATCACGTGCGCTCCTAATTCTGAAATCAAAAGCGGTGTTTAGCGTAATACTTATTCCAGGAGGCAAGCTTTAATTCTGGAGCGAAACCGAAATAACCCCTATTTTGGATTTGATTTCTCTATATCGGTCTTCATTTTGAATTCTTTCATACCTCAACATTCGTCTCACAACGTAATTATTTGGTTAAAAAAGTTGTTCGCGGAAACTTTATTTGTTGACATACATGTTCGATTCAGGCACTTTAATATATTTTGGAGATTTCAGTGTCTCTTTAAAGGCAGGGTCTTTCAAACACCTTAGTTGTAACATAGAATATTGTAGTTGAAAAAAGCAGTGCTGATATGTGTGCGTTCTCGCTCAGATCATTTTCATTATTCCTATCACCAGAATAACAGAATAAATAAGATTTTCCAATATGTCTACAAAACGTATAAATTAATAAACGCTGTTCTCACTACAACAACCCAAAGACGGAATCCGAGTCAGACAGCTGATGTGTGTGTGTGCTTTTATAGCAACGCCTGACGCATAGGACATTATATTGCATCCAGTGTTTGACTGATTGTCTATCTTGATAACGATGTCAGAGTTTTTCATATGCTAGAAGGAAAAACCAAAAAAATATACCTCTCTGGAAAGGCGAGGTTAAATGGCGTCCTTTTTTGTGATCGTGGCATTAATTGGGGTCATACATTGCCGTGATTTTTATTATTAATAATAATATTAAAATTAAGATATTTTAATGCACATTTTTTCAAACTCTAATATAATTTGCTGCTTATGATCTAATTTCAAACGCGCGAACAAGTATGACAGTCTAAAGTGTGCTAATTATCATCACTGGTGCCAAATGAAGCATTTTTAATTGCCAAGTTATAAAATAAAAATAGTCTAAAATCAATGAAAACATTCTTTCTAATGAGAGAAATCCATGTTAAATTACGTTATTTGTGGGTTTATCATAGTTTGCTGTCAAAGTCGTGACTTTTGACAATCGGCAAGAGTTACAAAGTAGCTGCAAAACTCCTTCCAGACCAAATGCTCAAAATAAAAAAATAAAAATTAAAAAATTTTTTTTAATTAATAATGTTTTTATAACGTTTAGTTACTTTCATTTTTGCGCGCCGTCGTTTTGCCAATCTCAGCCTTTCCAGTTCGAACGAACGCCTACCTGCGTGCACGTCTGCTTAATGCAGCACGTTGCGTTGGTGTTGTTGGAAGCCGGTGAAACAATTGTGAGTTTTAGTATTGCGTATACGAGCGAACGCAAGTTTGCGTTAGCGCGTGCACGGACCCAAACTTGTCGTCTTGGATTGGCGCATGGCGATGAGGCGCACGCACAACGTGGGACACGTACCTCTAACGCAAACGCACAGCGCTTTCGTTTGCTTCTATACGCAATACTCAAACTCTCTAGTAACGTACAATCTCATACCGGCTGCAGCACTACGTTGGGAGAGTGAAGATTGTTGTTTGCGTTCGGAAATGACATTTCGCGAGCCACGATCGCGCGCAGTTCCGCCGTGCCCGCTGAGCAGGAGAATCGGGGACCCTCACTAGAAAGGTTCCCGTTTCCGCCGTGGGAGGGCGACTCCGAGCAACGAGTTGGAGACGCGAATAGGGGGCGCTTTATCGAGCTTGTTGTCTCCACGTTCCGGTGTTTACTAACGCAGCATAACAAAGAAATCGAACCTCGCCTATCACTGTCTTTACACGAGCGCTTCGTTTTGACCAGCGCGTTGGTCGCAGGAGGAGCGGCGTTGGAATCCTCATCTTCAATTCCTCAGATCAAAAACAAACAAGAAAATTCGGTGTGTTTTCCCCACAGCAGAAACGTACCGCTAGACGCGTGACTGTTCGATCTCCAACCGCAATAGTCGTCGTACCAGCACCAAGGTCAGACACAAACAGTTGTAAACAACGTGACGTCATTATCGAGACTACATGCCACCGGCATGAGAGTTCTAAGGCCTCGGAGACACTGTCTGAGGCCTTGCTTGTATGACGGCACCGTCACGTTGTTCATAAAAAAATGGGCTGTGAACGCATTTCACGCATACACACGTATATAAAAAGAACATGCTTCGAAGATGCTTGGGAAGTATCCCCAACAATTTTTGTCATTCTGTCTGCAATAATTGGGGATATTTATACAGCGTGTAGTTGGTCAGCCATTTAAAGTTGCGACGAGTCAGTCGCTGTAGATGAGCAATTTAGCCAGTGCAGTACAACCGCTGCCTTTAACGTGCTCACGCAGTAGTGATACACGACCGCACGTTGGTACGATGCTTATCCAGATCGAAACGGGCAGGGGTGGGGCTCGAACCCAGGATCCTTGTGTTATACAGCGCGAGCTTTCATTCTGTCTGCAGCGAATGTCCTTCGTATGATATATGGGCTTAAGAGCTGACCCTATAAATGCTGCTCATTTAAAACTCAACGCACGACAAACGGAAGCAGGTTGAGCAACTCACAGGGAACATTCTCGGCCCCTGGTCCCGTTAGAGCCGGCTGTGAGGTTGAGCTTGCAGAAGTTGGGCGACGGCGCCGTGTAGAGCAGGACGTTCCTGGACGCCTGCCACTGCGGCATCAAGTCGTTGAACTCGACCCTCCGGGCGCCTTCGTACGCCTGGCGGAGGCGCCTGCCCACCTCGGCCATGTCGGCCAGCTGCATCCAGCAGGTGACGCTGGCGCAGCTGCCCGACGTGCCGTGGCACTTGCACACGCGACGCATCGTCTTCCGCACCGCCTGCGCGAAGAAATGCCCTTCAATCTCGCCTCATTTCGTCTGGAGTCGACGATAAAGCAGTCTGTCTCGAAGTCAGCTAGCTTGTGTGTGGATTAGTTCTGGACGCCCTAATGCGCTACAGTCGGTGACAGGTCAAGAAGGAAGTGGAAGCTCCTCCCACCCCCTTCTTCACTTTAGCAGAGGGAACGGTGGAGAGGAGGCGACCCCCACTTTAGGGTTCGCTCTACTAAAGTGGAAAGAGGAGGAGCTCCCATTCTCACTGCTCAGAAGTATACGCAAACGCGTTGTTCAGAAACTAGCTGGGGTCTGTCCAAACCAGGTGTGGGCAGTGCGCGTGCACGGAGACCAGATTTGCATATGGGAAAGAGTATGCGCATGCGCAGGGCGGACAGCAGCGCCACCGCTGCGGCGTGACGTCAGAGCGGCGCGTTGATCTATGTCCATTGCAGGTCAAGAAAAGCAGAAAAAGCTCCTTCCGTAAAACCGTCCGTTCTTTCCACTTTAGCAGAGCGAATGCTTGAGGAGAAACGGGAGAGGAGGCGAGTCTACTCACCACCTCCTCTCCAGCGTTGCGGGAGGATCTCTTCCTGCTATTTTGAACCTGTGTCCAATTATAGCTCCCACCTATTTTCTGTCAGGATCAGGTATTGGAGGAATGCGCGATTGTTAACGTTCAACATGCATTCCATCCCATGGGATCGTGGTTCTTGGCAGATGATGGATGGGAGCTAGTTCTGAGCATGCGCTACAAATAACGACCAGAACTATCGTTCAGGGAACAGCCGTTGTAAAGGAACCACTTTTAAGGCTCGTGGCATTTATATAGGAGATTTTGGGTGCCATGACAGTACCATCTGCGAGCCTCCTCTCCACCGTGCGGAGTGCGCACCGTCCGTGGAAGCTTGACTTTAAGCCAATCAACAAGTAAGCATAAAAACCAGGGGCTCTAAATTGGACATTCGGCGAGAAAGTCGGCGAGATCACCAACCGCCACGATTGACCGCGGCGCTGGCCAATCGCGGCAGTGGGTGATCTCACCGACTTTCTCGCCGAACGGGCAATATGGAATTCAATACGACATTATGAATTTGCATCTATTGCATTTCCTCAATAGATGCTTTCCTTCTCATGCACTATGTGTTCTCTCCCGACCACAGCTTGTTTCTCCTCAATCGCCACCCCATATCGACAGCGATATGGTAGCAGCTCATGCAGCTGAACTTCAGGACTCCAATATTCATTTTCGGTCACCTTACTTTTTTCTTTCTATCCAAACACGATTCCGAAGCAGAATCATATTAGGTTTATACGATGCGAAAGACATTTTATTGTCCACAACTTTTCAGCCGTAATGTATTTTTAGAATTTTAATTGAGGTTTAATTACAAAGCTGTCTTCAAGAATAGCCACCCCGATAGCTCACATTGCAGGACCTTGGGGAAAAAAATTTTGTGTTTGTGTATAGGCAGCCGGAAGTTAGTCAGCCCCAGCGAGAGTCAGGTGTCTTCAATGCAGATGAGAAGTATAGCCAGTGCAGTACCGCTGCCAGCCTGGGGTTCATGACGTGCAGTACTAATGCTGGAGTGATACACCACCGCACACCGGTACGATTTCTTCCAGATCGAAACACGGGAAGAGGAGGTGATTGATCCCTGGGTTCTGCAGCGTGAGCTTTGCACCACGAGCTTTCAGGTGTGGTGCTTTAACGATCTCGACCACCAACCCCCCCCCCCCTCCCCACCGTTCGTGTATAACTGCTACGTGATTCACACGAAACATCCCAGGCTAGCAGTCGTATACTGCGGTGCTAAATTCCTTACCCACAGGCGACTCCAGACACCCATTGAGGCTGACTTACCTCCAACATTCTAAACATACATTGCTCCCCAAACTGAACGTCGCCATGAGATGGTTGGATAAGGATGGCTAGTTGGGCTAGTTGGTTTCGCATTATGGTGCAATACGCCAAAACAACGAGGACGAAAACGAAGGGAGAACTAGACAGGGCGTCCTGTCTAGTTCTCCCTTCGTTTTCGTCCTTGTTGTTTTGGTGTATTACACCATAATGGCATGGTTGATTTTTTCACCTTTTGGTACTATACTTCCGGGCCTACCGGTCGAACTACGTGGAAACGTTTTGCCCCCCCCCCCCCCCCTTCCCCAGATCGCTTTCCCACCCTTTTCCTAGCCTACGGGGAAGACATTCCAGCTACCGCAGAGACCAATTTAGCGTTCAGTAGCAGGCAATAGGGAGTTTTGGAATGCGTGGGCACGCTTTGAATCCCCCAAACAATTAAGGGCGTCGCAATGCGCCTGCGCAGAACTTCTGCGCTTGCACAGTGCGACGCCCCAAGCTGTTCGGGAAGTCCAAAGTGTTAGTGCCTCCTATTTTAAAGCTCTTTAATAAATCACTAGTTTGCTACAGCCCGAGTGGCGGCCTTATGTTCAGGGAGATCTGCACACACAACACAATGTTGACCCACAAGTTACACAAAAGAACAAAGACGACCCGTTGCGACTCACGATTCGTCCGACGCGGTTGTTGTGGAGGTTGATCAGGGCGTTGATGTCCTTGTTCACCTCCCGCGTGTCGAGGAAGCGACGCGCCATGCGATCGCCGAACCGGAAGTTGTCGCTGCAGCCGCCCCAAGTCCACTGGACGGCTGCGAAGAAAGGTCGCGCTAATCAGCTTTGCTTATTCGAGGACGCCCTACAGTCCCCGACACCTTAAGAAACTCAGGGCGTGACCTAATGATGCGCACATGTTTCTTGATTAGCCGTTCCGATAATCGGCTTCCGAGCGCTGCCATCTTTGTCTCTTGGGCTGTGGATGGCGTTCTGAGCGCGCGCAGTAGCTCTCGTCCAGAAAATATGAAAGGCCGCGCACGCGTTCACAACCCAGTGACTCAGCATTTTTCGCCTGGGTGATTGGAGCTTAGAAAGATTTCCGTTTCACATAAAGTCCGACACTCCGATTTTATGGAGCCCACCTAGCAGGGCAAAAGTATATGCGGAGCTCGAGTTCGTCTGCTTCTTTTGCAGAGTGTGTGGTGACGTCAAAATGCCGACCTCTGATTGAAGGATAGTGGGTGGCCCTCAAACCAATAAGCTGCATTGAGGTCGACCTACTAGCCTTCAATCAGAGCCAATCAGAAATCGGCGTCGTTGTCACGTCACCTCAACTTCGGCACAAGAAGCAGGCGACTTGCACTTCGCATCGTCACGAGTCTGGTGGTCCTTGCGCGTTTTCTATCACCGGCTGAACAAATGACGCGCATAACAGAAAACAAAGAGGCACGTTCAATGTGCATTACTCTGCGTGATTGGTGTTTGCCAGCCAGTGATAGCGAATGCACAAGGACGAGCGCACGAGCGCCATGACGGTGCACTTTTGGCGCTGCCTGATTGGCTGCAGTTGGACTCGGTGTGAAACTTATCGTACATATAGTTCTTCGAATTTCTTATCGGCTCACGCCGCCATCTTGTTGGCTGCACTGCAATATAATAGGACGCCCAGGATGTGTCACACCCTGTGTTTGCAATACTAAGAAACCATACTAATGTTGTTGTCGTATGGCGCCAAAAAGACACTTAAATCTTTCTTCTGCGATTTTTTTATCTACCCCAACTAGGTTTATTTCAACGCGATAGCGTTAACGAGCTCGTGTCGCAGAAAAGTTGGCGTCGGCGGCGTGACGGGAAACTCCTGATCAGTTGACGGGGTCGTGACGCCAAAGCCACAAGACCTCACGCGAGAATTTCAAACAACCTACAACGCTCACGTGAAACGTGACGTCACGTGTAGAATAAAAGTGATTGAAACATTACATGTGAGGCGAATTAAAGGTCGCCGCACGTCTCGAATAATTTTTTGCCAAAGTAATTTATTTGCTTTAAAGAAACATTTGAAGAATTTCAGGTGGGCTTCGAACCCACGACCCTTCGGTTGCGAGCCAGACACGCTATTGACCGAATGAGAGTATGGTGCGAACGGGGCCCACAAGGGTTCACCTTAGGACAGGCAGAAACCGACTTCCGGGCCGGTGGTGGTGCCCTATGTTTACGCCCTTCCTCACCGAGTCAAGCGTGCAGCCAGTGCCGCAGGCCATCTTGCGGAACAGTGCAGTATACTGTAGTATCTTGACGCGGAACAAAAACAAGACCGCAAGGGAGATTGATGAAACGTTTTTTTTTTTCTTCTATATTATCGAGGAGGTGATTCATGCGTTAGAGCACCATCAGTATCGCTGGGAAGGGACGAAGCAGGTTTTATCAACCAGATTTGAATGAGGGAGATATGGCGCGGGAGATATATTTTTATCGATTACTTTTGTCTTTTTTTTCCTCCGTGGTTTTTTATAGTTCGCTGGAATAAACATTCAGTTTAAAGTCAGTCTGTGGCTTCTTCGTTTCTTGTATCGCTTTTTTTTTTTTTGCGGTGGGGGGGGGGGGGGGTGTTACCTTATAAGATGATCAACCAAATCGCCAAACTATATGCCTTGTTGTATATGTCTGTTTGAAGTCACTTGCCTGTGTCTTACAACCAACGTTCATTCGTTTGATCGTCCGGATTCATTTACTAGCGTAAAAAACTATAATTTTTGTTTGCCGGGCAGCTCACCTTCCTGTTCTACAAACACGTCACGCTAAATAACCGATAGGAAATGTTTGTTGTCTCAGCACCGCACTTGATGGGCGAAGCCATTGCTTCAGATATCGCTCCAGCAGCGGCGCCAAAATAACGTCACGCACGCAAATCAACGAAGGACACTGACTGCTGATATTATGCTCAGACACTTGTAAGATGGCAAACCTCACTGAGCTCTAGCGTCGCCTATAGAGCCACTAAATCAACTACGCTTCAGAGTAACGACACTTCAGCCATCTTGGTGCTTAAAATCATGGTTTCCGGTTATCTGAACCTTTATCTGAAATCGCAGCAAGCGCTTTTCCGTCCTCCATAAATGTTAGAACAGTTCACGACAGAGCAAAACAACATCACCTGAGCTCCATAACACCGCATCTAAAGGCTAGGAAGCCGCATTTTTTTTTTAATTGTGTCGATGGACACATGCGTCTGCTCTGCACCAAGCACCAAGATGGCGGCGCCCACTAGCAGATCGGGGAACGGAGTGCCGATATTCTAAGCGTAGCTCATTTAGTCGCTTTAGTCGCCTGTTACACTGCGGCGTGCTCTGAGGTTTCGAACCGTACACCAACATGTCGTTGTGCTACCGTTTGTTGTGCTAGAGAAGAGTTTGGTAGAATCGTTCACAACCTCGACCGGCCGAGTCGCGCCCCTATGCGTTCTCGCCTCGACCACAAAGAAATTGCTGATCCGCTCGCAGAAAAAAGACGAGAAGGCTGAAAATACGAGCGAAATGAATCGCCTTTGCGTACTTTACGAGCGGCATCTCAAGATACTGCTGAGGAAGATTGTAGTAAATAAAAATTAATGGGAAAACTCGCAACTCTAAAGTAGTCGTGGGAAGGCTGCAACCTCCTAAGACTTCACTCGCGAAACTATATAGCCCAAAACGAAAGTGCTGATATTCGAGATGCCACGCGCTCGCGTCCCTCCCTGTTACCGATTTTGCGAAGTTCTGGGTTCAATTTCTTACGGGATTATAATATTTCATTGCTTAGATATGTTTTTATTATAATTATAACCCACAATCGGGTCCCACCTTCGCGTTCCACAGCGAGTACGAGCTGCGGCGGGGTGAGCGGCGCGGTTACGATGGTTGCCAAACGTCACAAGACCCGGATATTTTTAAAACCAAAACTGTATCGCAATCACCTGATGTAATTACGTCCAACTTATACAAGAAGGCCAAGAAATAACTTAATGTTTCTAACACTTCAAAATTATTGTTTGGAGCTCAAAATAAAGTTCAATATCTGTTCAACCTTTTTTGATAGCTACAGCGACGTTTTGTTTGCTCATGACGCCGTATGGAGTGTCGCACGGTCGTTTTTGCTGAAACACCTGGGAATCTACGTCTTTGTGTTTTAATGAATACGAGAAACTTTTATTACCCCTTTAACCTTGTTGCGGGCGCTCAATCTCAACGCCGATAGACCTTTTCATAATATCCAGAATATCCCACATTGCACCGCGCGTCAAGGGAATTGTGGACGCTTCGTATAACCTAGAAGCGGCGCGATTAATTCTATCTCACTATTGGGACATCAGAAAGCACGAAAAATAAAACGAACAGGACACCGCGCTCATTACATACTCTGTTTTGCTTCCTTTTCTTTCTTTTTTCCTTTTTGTTCTTGCTTCCCGTCCCTGCGTTCTGAAGTCACAGAATGTTAAGCAAACGTCAAATTCGTCTTCTATTCCTGAATAATTTCACGTGCCGTACATCGGAATGCCACCATGCGGAATGCGGACGATGGGGGCGCCACATATTTTCGAAATTGTATAGCCGACCAAAAAGCGCTTTGTGAGTTGTCCATGTACGGCTATAAACTGATGGAGAAAAAGAGAGCGCGCGGGCACGAAAGAGCGTCGAGTGGTACTGGCCCAGTTCTGATTTGGAGGGTTAGTGGAAAGACCCCAAGGCTAGCTACCTAGAAGCAAACAACACTCTAAGAAATGCTTGCGCGTCTACTTACCCGCGAAACACTTAAAGAGCCAATCTCAGCGATCTAGGGAATCAGCTCAGCGATTGATGAGGCAGAACATCCGTTTATACCTCAAAATGAAGTCTACTCTGTGGCATTACGCAATGCAAAGCGTCGTGCTTGCATTGCGTAATGCCACAGCGCAGACTAATGGTGAATTCCACTCGTAGATCTGGAGCGCTTTCCAAAATCCGCGAGGGAGGCAAAATTCCGCTCCGTGGGACCCGCTCCGAATCGACGAGGGGAAGATAAACTTGCATTTTTAGAGCGAACTCCCCACACCCCTTCCCACCCCTTCTCCCTCCGCCGTACAAAATGGCCGCTGCTCGAACTTGACCAGCCCCACCAACGCCTCAGCCGGCTGATCTCTCCGACGACCAGTGACGACTGTCACTGCTTAGCTGCAGAAGTAACACGCGACGCACACCGGGCGAAATTATACGTACCACGGCGCCCATGTCACAAATAACGAAGACGTCCGCGTTCGGCACCGTCACATACCTTTCGGCCGCCTCGAAGCGGCGGGGCACGGACAGCGATTGCAAGCGGTGGAGTTCAGATTTGTACTACGACTTTAATAAACACAGAGTTAACAAACCATCACTTGCGCGGTCGTTGCCTAACCACTTCTTGCTTTATTTCACGGGAAAACGCCGACGGAATGCAGTGCAAAAGGGTAAACAATCACTGGCTGCAGAATGAATAGACCTAACCTTGCGTCTGCCTCCGGCTTTTCTGTCGTTCCTTTTCTCGTTCTTCCTCTCGTGATCGCAGAGTCAGCGCTTACGATTTGCCACGCTCCACAATCCTGGCTTTTTATTCCTTGTCTACGCGAAGTAGAAGCTTTGGAGCCGTCACAATCCAGAGTAAACAACCGACGCACCCGAACAGATCCAACTCCACGACCCGACCGGCCCGCCGATCTCTCCAACCTCGCCGCGCATGCGCACCGCCGATTTAGACGGAAATCACGTGGGCCGCTCTGTCAAGTTCCGGAGAGATCTGTGAAACACCGCAGAGCAAGTTCGGCGGAGTTTGGGGCGCTCCGTGGAGCGGTCGCTGCCAGAGATCTACGAGCGGAAGATGACCAACTCGAGCCAGATCTGCGAGCGGAATATGCGCGCTCCAAATGGAGCGCTTTTGGAGCGCTCGAGATCTGCGAGCGGAATTCACCATTAATTTTAAGGTCTAAACAGATGTTCCGCCTCATCATTCGCTGAGCTGATTCACTAAATCGCAGAGATTGGCTCTTTAAGTGTTTTGCGGGTAAGTATAACGCGCAAGCATTTCTTAGAGCGAAAGCGTCGTTTGTTCCACGCGCAGTGCCTCGCGTTCGAATTCCGAACGCCGGAGGTCAGCGTTCGAACAGTGAGTGGAGACCTTGATGGAGACAAAGCCATGCCAACTTTTGCATCCTATCCGCTCTCCTTCCAATCAGACCTCGGCGCTCTGGCAGACCCGCGCACTCATCTCCTCCTCTCGATCGGTTTCCCTCCGTATAGTTTTGATGAGGACTCCTGACCGGGTGCTCTGTTTCGCTTTCGTGAGTGTGGCACTTGCTTGGCTAGCTTCTCACAGATACGAGCACACGTTTGCTGACCTGCGGAGATGGCACGCTGAAATATGGATGCATTATAGGGGCCCTGCAAAGATACGAATAAAGCCAAATGCTGCTCGAAGCGCGTGCTAGAAGTGTAAAACAGAAGCGTTCAGTGACGCTCGTGTTCACCCTCTTTCTTTTGGCCCATCTGCCTAAACGATCTGCGATCAGTAGAATCCAAATCTAAAATCCTTTATATTCCACCCCGAAACTCGTTTCACGGCCCCTTTAATTGAGCGTAGTTCTATAAATGAGGATGATAATGAAGGAAAGGACTTTTAAGTTGACCCGCCTCCGGCTCGATCGAGCTTCCTATCTTCCACCATGCTTCGGCGGCGCTTCGTGAGCTTCGAGCGTGCACGTGCAGCCAAAGCACGACGGAAGGCAACGAGCGCGTGTTGGAGGCCGAACATTTGAAAGAAACGTCCTGCCGTTGTCATCGCGTACGTGACTGTACTACATTTCGTTCTAGCCCTTCGCGAACTGTCAAGTATACCTGCTGCGCTGTCATTGGCAGCGACGCTGGGAGGCGCTGGTTGCTCTCCCTTGGCGACCCGCTTGGACCGGTCGCACGAGCAGGATGGAAGGTGGCCCAGACTGCAGTTCTTGGTCAGAGTGTACGTGATGCCCGCGCTGATGATTGCGTGCACGAACGCCGTCTCTCGAGTACCTGTCGCCCAAAAGCCAAAAATAAAAATTATGAAAAATAAAAACCGAGTTTATTTAGCGAAGTAAGGGTAAAAACACAGGCAAGGTGGTGAAACACTTCCATCACAAACCCAAGACGAGGATCTTACCGCGAAGACCACAACCGCGAAGAATGCTGTTAGGCCTAACACACATATCCTAATCATCAGAACTTTCATCTTCTATATTACATCATCATATAATCCTCTTCACCAGACACGGCACCGCGGGCCTCCTTGGTACGGGCTGTTGCCTTTCTGTGGTGCCGCGGCTCTCCTGAGCAAATAAAGATGATTATGATTATGATCTATAAAAAACAAACAGAAAAAACACGCAAAATCTTGTGTGTTGTCTCCGTTTTTTTTTATTTATTTATTTTAATTTTTTTCTTTTTTTTTTGGGGGGGGGGGGGTTGTAATGGGAAATACTAGTTTAATCATTTTACTTTTCCCAAGGGGATGCTACAAATCATCCGCTTCAATACGAGACACCTATTTCCATCGTCAAAAAAAAAAAAAAAAGTCAAAGGTAGGTATTTTGCGGCTAAGAAGATATTCGGGAGAAGGAGGAACATATGTGACGGTACTCCTCCAAGGTCGTTGCATAGAAAAACTTTTTGAGATTGTAATTTGCAATCTCCTCGCGTTTAAGTGTTCGGGTCAGGACAAAAAAGAACAGAGTATACATGGCACTGAATGTATGTTTACAAGTATACATTAGCGGCACATTCCTGCGGCTCAGTTCGCAGCTTTCAAGGACTATTGGGGGCGCACCAGCTCTTATCAAAATGGCTGTCATCTGGATTATCGTTGTAGAACAGCAGTACGAGGTTAAGTCTGTGCGACGCGTAAGTAATTCCAATTGTCCGACCTACGAGCGATATAAGAGCTTTACCTCATTCTTCCACGTCAGGGAGGTGTAAGCAAGCAATTTGGTTCTCAAGCCTATCATTCAGGAGCGATACCGGGTCACAACATCCAACGCGTCAAAACATCCATAAGTCAAAACATACAACCTTGGATGCTCTGTCTCGATGGATCTATGATGCGTTGGACGTTTTGACTCGAATGGATGTTCTGACGTTAAGAATGTTTAGACTGGGTTGGTTGTTTTCACTCGATGGGCGTTTTGACTATAGAGGGATGTTTTGATTCGGCTAGCTGTTTTGACACGGTGAATATTCCGAACCTGCTGAAACAACACCTAATGAATGCTTTGATTCGTTAAATGTTTTATATATTTTGCGTGAAAAGCAGACAGTTTTGCTTTATTCGATTTTTGAGAGCATGGTAAGCAAGGACTCACTACGAGTTCCCTGATGGACCTAAATCAATTATGAAGAAAGAAACGTTAATTATTTTATGAAAGTTTCGAAGGTACAAAACAATGCACGTTATATTGTTTATCCTTGTATCATTCTCCAGTACACCTGTTAGTCACGATACCCACTCTTTCACTGCTGCATCCAAATGGGGGCTAAGAAAACTGCATACTAAATTATGGTCTTGACGCCCTGCTTCGTATTGAATTCAGGTGAAACACACATGTGCAGTGGGGATGACTCCGTAACGCGGTGAGCAGAGCCGAAATCATTTACTAACTTCCTACTGCAAGACTTTTTTTTTATCTTGGGGTATGCATATGATCTATTGCGAGGAGGCTTGGGAAGAATATATTCCGGGACAATAAAATTTAGCAACGTGCTAAATATAAAAAAAAAATTCCGTATTTGAAGAGAATGGTAGAGCAGCAAAGAGCGCAATGAGCTCTGAATCTGCGCGAGTACTCGGGCCAGAATTTTGGGACGTAACAAACGATTGATTATCACTCCACCAGCCATTCAGCACTTTTTGCATGACGTAACGCAAAGAACTTCTATTACCATGGCAGGGTGCGCCTCGATACAAGACTTTGCAACGTCCGACATTCAGCAGCGAGTTTGCTTTTGCTGCGGTCTTCATTTTCGGGGGCCAAGTTTTTCACGAATCCCGTAGAGCGGACAAGTTAGCGAACACTAAATTTCGAGAGTTGTAGACAACTGAATTCGCGGCCATGGCTCTCTCACATCTATCGAGCAAATAGTTTATTGTTTAGCCATATCGCATTGACCGTGCCAAAGCATTCATCGTGACATTATGGCCAATGGGAAACTATACAGTGTGTTTCTTTTTAAACTGCACCAAATTGAAAAAGAAAGAGAATGTAAGATAGAGTAATTTGAGCCCTGGGGCAATGTTAATGGCTATGGTGGCCTCTAGAAGACAGGTGAAATTAGGTAATTAGTTAGCTAATTAACTATACTGTTTAAATTTTTTTTTTTTTCACTTGAGGGAGCATAACGTAATCAGAGAATTGAAGCTCGACCTCAATATGGTCGTGCCCTGCCATCAAAATTTGATTAAACAAATTGTAGTAGGTACTGCGGGGTCACGAAATGTCACTTTGGTACACGGCATCAAACCGAAACTAAGCGAGAAAGAGCGCCGGTAATGTATCGCTCCGCCCTTCCGCCCCCGTGGATCGCCGTTATCGCAGTCAGCTTCGCCGAAGCAAGTGCAGCCGGCCGCAATAATGACGAATCGCATGCCCGGAAGGGCGGAGTGATAACTTTACCGGTGCTTTTTCCTGTTTAGTTTCGGTTTGACGCCATTTGCCAAAGTGACATTTCTTGACCCCGTAGTGCCTACAAGGAATTTTTTTTTATCCAAATTTGGCGACAAAGCTAGACCATATTGTGGCCGACCTTCAATCCTCTCCATACATTATGTGCCCTCAAGTGAAAAATTAAAAAGTTAAAACACTTTAGTTAGTTAGCTAACTAATTACCTAATTTCTCCTTTCTTCTAGGGGTCGCCATGGCAATTAACACTTGCACAGGGCTCCAATTACTCTATCTCAAGTTCCCTTTTTTAAAAATTTGGTGCAGCTAAAAAAACACCCTGTATAATTAACTATTACTCTGGGGCAATCTCGTTCAGCGATAGATGTTTCAACTCAATGGACGTTTTGACTCGATGGATATTCCGACTCGGATGGATGTTTTGACTTGAATAGATGTTTTGACTTGAATAGATGTTTTGACTTGAATAGATGTTTTGACTCTATGGGTTTTTTGACACTGATAGATGTTTTGACTCGTTGAACGTTTTGACTCGGTGGGTGTTTTAACTCGGATGGATATTTCTACACGTCGGATGTTCTGACTATGGTGTCATGTGACCTAATGGATGTTTTAACTCGATGGATGCTCCGACCCGATGGATGTTTTGACCAGCATCGTCCAGGAGCTAGGGATCGCAATTTTCACGCCGCGGCACCGCTATTGCTAAAAGTTGCGAATCTGGCCACAGGGCATGCTTTCAGCCAATCACTGATTTTCCAGAAGCCGTCAAGAAAGAATAAAAAAAAAAAACAAGGACGCAAAAACAAATCTGCGCCGAAAGTATGAGCAACTAAATTGTCATAGCCCATTATCCCTGCACAGAATTCATTTTGGAGTCAAACCGTCTTTCTGACCACGCCGTTCTCTAGGTGCACTTAGCAGATCGGACCACTCGTGTTTTAAGAATTTTTAGGCCTTTACGCATTTTTAGAGTGTAGAATATACGCATAAATCAAACCTTGCAAATGCAGAAAGAAATCGGACGTTATTGAAATAATTAACAGAAGGATGCGCAAAACCAGTGTCGTTTTGTGCGTCCTCCTGTTTGTTTATTCAAAGTGTCATTTTGTCTATTATTGTGTTTATTCTTTCAATACCGTCTAATTGAAGCCAACGTGCTAACCTTCTATTTATTCAAGTCAATCGAGCCCTTCAGATCAAACCGCTATCTACAAAGGCGGTTCCCCACATGCTCGTACTTTGTGACTTTTTTATTATATGTGTTAACTTTACCGGCAAGCTCCTCCTATTAGCATTTCAGAAAGCAAATGTCGAATCCATCTCTTTAGAAACCATGGTTCCAGAGGTTTTCGTACGAAAGCACATGTTCGCGTTCCATGGATTCACGAGCGACCATGTCAGACTTAAAAGCGAGATCTCGCGCCGGCGCACGTCGTGGGCACCCTGCGTTCTCTGCACAAAAACCTTCGAGCCGGTGATTCTCTAAAAATGTGGATTATGCTCGGTGATGTCCATAGCGCTCCCCGACTCTGTGGTTCCTAAGATGGGAACAGAAAAAAAAAAATGAGGGAGAGGAGGAGACAAGAGTGCGTGAGGACGTCAAAACGACGAGCTCTGGTTGGAATGATTACTGGGTATACGGGCAAATCCGTCTTCGTCTTTATTGACTCTTTGACAGCGTTCGAACGGCGAACGCCGGCGTCCAGCGTTCGCGTTCGACCGCGTTCGAAGAGGGAGTAGAGACAAAAGCGGTTAGCCTTGCCCGTATACCCAGTTATCATTCCAGTGCTCGACGTTCTGATATCCCCGAGCGATCTCGTTTCCTACTCTCCCTACATTGATCGCGGTATAGCGTACCTGGTGGCCTCTCGATCTTCGAAGTGGCGAACGAGCTTTTGGGGCAGTTCCAGCGGTCCCACTTAAACTGCGACTGGCACTCCTCCATCGCTCTTTGGATCCCGAGGTCGATGACGCCGGAAGCGGACAAGCCGACCTGAGCAACGTCAGAGCACAAACATATTCGTTTAAGAATACAACGCGATGCCTCCTACCAAACATTTGTCCGTTCGTTTGTGCATTTCACAGATAAATTTAGTGGAGAAATCACGTAACTTCAAGGTATTGGGCGACACCACGACTCGGCATCGGAACGGCAGGTCACGTGACCAGGTCTCATGACGTCAGGTCACAGAACGCCAAGTT